AGCTGGTTGTGACCATAAAAAAGTCATAAATATAATTAAATATTTTCCTTAACTTATTTTTATAATTTAATTTTATATTTACAGCTTTTTAGTTGTAGCCAGTTATAAGACGTTTGAAATTTTATTTAACAATTTTTATTCCTAAATAAGTTTTAAACAATTAAGTTGCATATATTTTTGTGATTAGCACTAAAAAAAATCTTAATTCTGATACCCCACTCGAAAAGCTTGGAAGAAAAAAAATGTATGAATCACTAAAATCGGTTAAGTCGTATATACTATGTTCACGGAGTGAACCATGCAAAGCGCTTTCTCTGTCCCACATTAGCATACAAACTGATAAGGACAAAAAACTGTCGAGCTTCGACCACTAACACTTGCAACTGGTTTGAAATTATAGTACTCATTCATGTTGCAAATGCTTTAGTGAGGAATTATTAATAATTTGTATTAAAATAAAATCAACATTAAAGTAAAACTGTATTTTTAAATATTTATATACATTATTTATTCATTTTCACTTTCCGACATATCACTGTCATCTTCTACATCTATACATATAATAAAATTGTAACTAAACCGAACCTGTACATTAAATATTCCCTCAACGACCGCGGACACGCCGGCGTTACAGTTAACAATAGATTTCTTAGAAATTTAATTAATTTCTTAGAAATTTAATTAATTTCTTAGAAATTTACCTGGAGGTGATATTTTTAGGAAAATCTTATTGAATTAAACATTTTTATCGATACAGAGGCCGAATCTATAGTTTTTCGAATATTTGTCTGTCTGTCTGTAACCGCATCACAGAAAAACCACTGGAGGCATTTTGATGAAATTTGGTATGGTGATAGCTGGTTATCCGGGTCAATATATAGGATACTTTTTACCGCGGGAAAATGTCTCATTCCTGAGAAAAAATACAAAAACTGCAATGTAAGAGTATACTAATATATTATAAACTTAAGAATTTGGTTTATAGTCATCTGAACGCGGGCGGAGCCGCGGGCAATGCTAGTTAATAATAAATCAGATAACTACACGAGAGACGTTTGAAATTTGAATGGTACGGAATGCAACGACGGCCTAATTATAATTAGACTTGCATTGTAATCGCGGCTTAAGCGTCTTATCTCCAACTAATCACGTGAAGCGCAAAATCTCAGTGCTTGGTTCATTCGGCGAATATAGTATAGTAATTACGAGAGAACATAGGATCGCATATACATACAAACAGCTCAAACACATAACACTTCTTTAAACTTCGCCGCAGTCGGGTCAAAAGAAACTACGTACCTATTTCAAATCAAAATGATCATTGATTAGACATTTTTTCTCTAACATCGTTTCAGAAACTTAGATCGTCAGTGCAGAGAAAAAAAGTCATTAACAAGTCAACTACTTTGATGTACTTAATTATTATTAGTGTTCCCTCAGTTGAAACATACATCATTAAGATTTAAATAAATAAAATTGAATCCCATTAGCGGTTTCAGGTCTTAGGCAAACGCACATACATACTCTTTTAGAAGCCCTATTAAATAAGTTTTAGCATTTCTAAAGGAGGAATAAATAAAACGCAAAAATATCAATATTTTATAAATATTCGTAATGTAGTTCAAATGTGGTACAATTAAAATCAGAGGAAATATCTTTACCAACTTCATATCAAAAAGGAAACATTCATGCGTCGTTTTCTACACTTTATCGTTAATCCTAATTACGAACTGTAAAAAATATTTATCGTAACTATCTATATTGTATATAGGAACTGGAGCCCGTTAGAGACGGGGTGAAGATGCTCCTTCACGTTGCGCCTATAACTAGATACAATATTTATGGTAAAAGCAGGTGGTTTTAATTATAAACTGTACACTAAAATTATTTATATTCACCCCATCTCTAAGCATCGATTGACTCAGCAAACTGAATTTACGATCTTAAAATAAATTTTTAACCAAAAAATTACACTACTGTAGTGTAAATGACAAACAAAATTCTATGAAATGTGAATTGAACCATTAATTATTAAAACATAATTACAATACAATATATTCTGATCTAAAATTAAATTAAAAATATGATAGAGTGTAGAAAATGGTAAATTGTTTCATTGATAATAAATCCAATAAAACATGTGCTTAACTTTACACAGACTATACTTATGTATATTATTTCGAATATAATAATTTGAATGTTTTTAATTTATATAAATTCAATAAAACAACAGACCACCGCTGTCGTCTGAACCGTACTAATTTCAATGATGTTTTATTGGTTTAGAGACATGTGAAAGAAAGCTGTAATCAATATACTGATGATTATGATTTACAAACTAATTAATAAGAAATAACCATTTTAATACTTTAAGACATAAATAATAACACATTTTAAACAATTTAACTTGCTTTCTTTGACTTAAAATCTCTTAAATTCTAAATATTTTGACTACACTAATAGTATAAACGAGTCCGTTATGTTACATAGTTTTATTATCCTATACTGACGTAATGTAAAAGGCGGTAGGCAGACAACTCCTTACAATTATGGACTCAGGAACAGAGTGGGAAGATTACATCCAGGTTGCTTATTTAATAGCAGTTTAAAACCAGCTTATTATAAAAAAAAAACATTGTTAATTTCATCTATTTGGTAAATTGTAGATCACATATAAATTCCACCCAACGTGGCTATTGTACCAAAAATATACATTTGATATCAATAGCCAAGCCAAAAATGCATTCGAAATGTGTATGCTAATTTTTCGTATGGCTTTGCTTTTAAAATAGTATATATAAACATTTTAAATTGTTTATAGGCAAAGCCACAGAAAAATAAACAAAAGAAATATTCCTAAACGACTCTGCAATTAAACTGTTCCAATAAACAAATCGCTGTCCCTACTTATCCGAGATTATAAACAAATGCAAAAATAAATTACAACCAGTCATGGGACTAATTCACATTTAACTAACAGAGTTAAAGAGATTCCAAAATATTATTATTAATATTAATTTGTTTACTTACCAAGATTGACTGAATTATTGCTAGATGATAAATATAGAATCTCAACTAAGTCTGTCAGTTAGGTACCTAACACACTCCAGTATCACTATATATACCATACACACATAAATACCTACATCATAACCGAAATGCACACACACGCACACATATAACTAATATGGTGGCTCGAACTAGCGTAACTTAATAATGAATTAATGATCAGTCTTAATAAATTCATATGAACCTTTATACAGGATCACGGCACTATTTTAATACAATATATCGTATGTCACTCTGTCGCTGAGTCAAACTTAAAATACATTCAAACTTTTAAAAGAAAATATTAACAAAAAAAGCACTGCTGGTTAAGTTTTAACAGAAAAGATCAGCACATCGAAGCAAACAATAAAATCACTTTAGTTTCTATATCTAAAGTTATGAGCCACAGTAACTCATAATTCCTACCACTAACAAAGTATAACTATAAACCACTCCCCGCTTCCATTTGAATATCTTCAATCGATGATGATTCTATCATCTTATACTATTAATTAGCCTACAGATACTGCGAATCCAGTGCCTGCAACGGCAGCTTAGCAGAACAACTTAGGCCTGCTTTCTTGTTGTTCTATAAAAGTACTTTAGTAAAAACACATACAAACACCATACTGTTCAATTTCACATATCAACATAAGATTCTTCTAATTTAAGTTAAACTGTAAAGGTGTTTTTTTTATATTAGAGGGCTTTCTACAGAAATACATAGTAATAGTTGAAATATGCTAAAAAGCAATTACTATTACATGATTTATTAAACCAGATCATAAATCATATATAAATTTTTACATACTACACTTTGTAAGTAGACATTATGTGAGGGAGGGCTTGAACCATGGAATGCTTCACTAATGGTTGACAACAGCCACTAACAATAACTTACTAATATCAAATACAAAAAGTAAGCACTGGAATATTTTGAACAAAATATTTATTACACTGGGTAATGAATGAATTACAACAATTCATTTTCTTAATATTCAGTTTATGAATTTTAATAATTGCTAGTGCCAAGTGGTTGCTGAGACAGTACAATTTTCGAAAAATATTTAATTAGTCAAATACTCTAAATAGTACTGAAAATATAAATGAAATACATATAAGGATTATAGTAGCCGCATGCCTAATGTTTACAAGTCCTAAAATCTACATATTACATGATTTGAAAATTATCAAGAATTCAATATTATTGCTGTTTTCTCGTAAACAACACTATCATTCTTATTTGCATTATTGCTTCTTATACTGATATAAAATATTTTTTACTATATAGTTTTGGAATAATTCCTATTACATGATATATTAGACAATTAACATATTACATTACAATTACATATAATTAAACGATACAGGAAATTAATACAAAAAGTAGCTTAATAGATCATGAAACAATGGAAAAATCTATAGGATCGTGTAAACATATGGCCTATCCATTGTTAAGAGAAAGTTTTGCTATTTGCTTCTCCAATTACTACAAAATCGTTATACAACTAATATGATATACAATATCAATACTGAGAAGAAGTTTAGCAAAATAATATTTAAAGTGTTTCATGGTAATGGAAAAATATTAGCAAGCGGCATTGTTATTATACTTTTGACCTATTTCCACTAAGTCAGTCATACAATATATACTCAATAAATTGTAATAATCATGAGTAAATCAATAATCATATTCCATAATAATATTTGAGACTAAACTAAGCACAGCTCCAATCAACTTATGTCACAATTCATGCATCTAACATTAATATTTTACCCAACTTAACTTCAATATGTTAAAATTAACAAAACGCAGACTTATCAATTTGTCACTTTGGAAAAGACAATTATACAACTAAAATAAAAAAACTATATTCGAGGGGGGTCAGGAGGGCACTTCAAACTGAAGCTATTTAACAAGCTGAAAGTCCAAGACTAGTTCAATGCAATCACGAATGCTTTACAACAATCACACCAGGTCGTTGGGGAGGAGCTCGATCCACTTTCTTTGTTAGTGCTAGAGGTGCATCGCCTGTCTCTTCTCTAAAAAGATGATCACCTTCTAGATGACGAATGGCCTCCACTATAGTTTCTAGATTCTGACGGCTGGTGCTAGCAAGGTATAAGCGTGAGGGGGCATCGTGACCTGCATCAGGTAGCACTTCTACCTCCACACGTGGCTCAGCTTTTATAGCGGCTTCAAGAAGAGGAGTTGCCACTGGTACTTCAGCAGGTTGCTTTTCACCTTCTTCCTTTTCCAATTTGCATTCAGCAATATTAGTTTGTTCATAATGCAGAACTGGAGTTGGTATCTCTTGAGCAGCTTCAGGATATATCTGAGCTTCGAGTGAGTGAAGCCGTTCTTCAAGCAGACGCCTCAATTGTCTTTCACGTTCCAATTGGACTCTTAACTCACCACTTTCAGGTTCTTTTTTCTGGGGTGCACTAGATACAGTTATAACAGCAACTGGTTCAGGTGATCTTGAGTTTGTTGTAATAGTGTCTTCTGTTGAGTCAGGAATAATAGAAGGTACAATAGATAAAACATCATTCTTTCTTTTCTTGATAGGTATATCACCTCCCTCATGCTGATTCAATAGCCTTTTCAACTGACAGTTCTGCGACAGAAGTCTTGTTTTCTCTTGTTCAAGAGAGTAAATATATTCTGCTGTTTGTTGTAAAATGGCAGCCTGTAAATTAAATATTTAAATTTTAATAAATACTACAAACTTTTATACAAGGATATAAAAATATACAATATTTTAAGTTAATTAAGGAATTATCAAATCAAAATACTTATAAATTATAGTTTTTTGATAAACAATAAACTTACTTTACTAAGTTTTTCTCCTTCATGTCGTGGTAACAGAGTACGTAATGCTTGAAAGCCAGCATTAATGCTCTGCATTCTCCTACGCTCATTGCTGTTTGCAATTTCACGTCTAATTCTCTTCTCTGCCTCCATACTTTTACCTCTAGATGAAGAATTTTTCTCACTTCTGAAATAATATAATTTGACAATTAAGCATGATTAATAAGGATATATCATCACTAAAAATAACCTAATAAAATTACATATTTAATTATTAATATATTTGTTATAATTTTAATTCAATTTATCATTTTATAGTAATCAACACAACATTAACTTTTGGAGGTTTAAGAACATCTATGGACACGCTCATGTAGCTAAAAGTCGATATTTAATTATTTATTATATAACAATGATCATTTTGAAATATTAAATACGATATTACCCATATTGATAATATTTAAATTATTTTGATATGACTGAAACATGTACTGTTTAATGTTTAGCTTATGTGTGATAGCGCGCTTACTACGCCTATTTGATTCGTCCAAACATGGCGGCCCAACAGCTGACTATAGACCGGCACGGAGCGGGAGCGACCACATATGACCACACTAACATGTGTACATAACACAAACATCGTAATTAGTATTATTATGAGAGAAATTGTTAATTTAGCTCTATAAAATCATGAGTGTTATCTAAATAGGACGAAAAATCTATAACCACGCCGGTTACACCTACCTTGAAATAGCGTGATCAGATGCTTCTTCTTCGTATAAGTTGTAATCTTCTATTTCTAATAAACAAACGTCATTACCGTGCAATGACATAACTTAAGCACAAAACGGCACAATTTAATGATTCCACATCAAAATAAGTAGCATCTAATCAAAATAGTTTTAGCAAAGCCACAATGGCGGGAAATGACAATGAGCACAGTCAGGTGACGCTACACAATTTTTACACTTCACGACGTTATAAGACGCACAAATCACATTTAAAACACTTGCATCGAATAAAAGGGTTCCATTTAATAAAAATTTCTCTAATTAAAGAGAACTTTTTTTAAAAACAGTAATTATAAGGATGGAGTCAAGGGCAACACGAGAAACGCGACATATCGATGGCCGATGTATTTGATCATAGACAACATCAGTCCATAATGTATAGAATATAGAGTAGGATGGCAAAAGCGCTCTGAATTGTGAGCCAAAATTGTGCATCTCAGTTTTAAAAATAATAAGTGAGTTTAATAATAAGAAAATATTGGTTCTAATATTTTTATTCGCGAATTTAATATTCATTGATATAAAAATTCTTATGTTTTTTGTAAATATTATTAAATGTAAAGTATAAAAATCTTTAATACCTCCAAGGTATTAAAGATCTTGAAAACTTCTTCAATAAAAATATATAAGACTTATTTTCATGCCCGTAAAATTTAAATATTTATGATATAAAAAAATAACAAATACATTGCTATATTATTTCTCTACTTTTTTAATTACTGTTTATTGTATAAAAAATCTATTTCAGCTTGCTGTTAAAAATAATATATACGTAATAGGTACAATATAGATTATCAAAATGAAAGTTAATTAAAATATTTTAAAACTTTGAGCCAATAATGAAATGAATCAATATTTAATATTGAATGCATGTTAATTACACGTTTTTATGTTGTTAGATTGCATAGAGTATGTTGGCTAAATTGAAGCGTCTTGATTTTGCTGGCCAATCACAAAGAGTTTCATTTTTGAATTTGTTCTTGGTGGGTGGAGATTTTGCCTTGTCGCCATATTGTGATCGGCTGTGAGTGCTCGGAAGTGAATAAATTAATTATTTGAAGTGTAAATTCTTTGTCTTTATTGTTCGGATTTAAAGGCCTAAAGGTAAGTTAAAAATTAGGATTAGTTTTTGTCATAATTTTTTTTCTAGTGTTGGATGTGATATCTAATCCCGAAATGTGCCGGGCGTTTAGTACCGTCGAACTTCGTTGCTTTTAATTTTTTTTAGCTAAATTGATATGTAAAGTAACCGTTGTTAAATATTAATTCCAAACATGGAGAGGCTTGTTATGATAAAACTTTATTACTTTGAATTTTTTATATAGGTAAGTACATATCTTTACTGCAGGTAGTAAAGTAACATGCTGATAATACTACATTTTCAATAAATTAACTATACTTTCGTTTGACGTTTTATATTCAATATCCATTGTGGATCACAGTTCGTATGTGCGATCAATATATTGTAATTTCACTCCAAATGCATTTTTTCCGGGAAACCCACTGTTAGTGCATTCACTAATCGAAGCGAACGATGAATCATCATTGTAACAACCGGCGCAGTCACTAAACAAAGGTTTTTGTTTTTATGGAATTATTAAAATTATATACATAATTATATTTATATAGTCTTTTAGATTTACTCCATTACTAGTTTTAAAAAGGCGTTAGGTACTTTCTTAAAGCAAATTTCGATAGCCTAATAACGATAATTACTATAAGCCTTCATTTTTAGGTACTTACAACGTAGTTTTGATGAGTTTTTAAGTCTTCATTTTTCGGAATGTTAGATATATTTTATTTTTGATTTAATTAAGTGTACTTTAATAATAATAATAGTGTATAGTTAAATCGTCATTATTATATTACATGTGAAATTTTGTTCCACATGTGCCCAAAATCAGACACACCCAAAATATTAAATGTCATTATAACTTTAAGATGTCTTCAATAAAATTAAAAAAAAAACATATTTTGTCAATTACTATTTATAGATTTTATAAGAGATCTTTGCATCATTAATAATTTGTATAATTTTATAATGATGAAATTCAATATATTGTTTTGACTATTTTTTTGAAATATAGGCTTCATTGTGTATTTAGCTGTTAAATGCATAACTTGTTTTGCTATAATTTTGAAACTGAAATACTTAAATAAAATAATAGGTAACTTAAAAAAACTTTTGAGGTAGTGGTTATAAGTATTAAATGTTTGTTTTTCAACAAATTATCAGTTTTTTTGATAATACTCTAAATGAATCATTCATCTATCTATAATTGCAAAGCATAACTTTTGATTACATATTTGTAAATTGTAACACACCCTCTGCACTGGGAGATATTCCTAAGTTTACAACAAACATCCCATGAGAAAAGACTTCTTGTTTCTGATTTTTTTTACATTAACATTCCATAGAACAATGTCACTTGTGCACCCCAACAAAAATATTTTTTGCAAAATATGTTATATATTGATGGAATCAGGTTTATAGAGCACTTCATGAAGAGTTAATTATTTGCATTAATTCTATACTTTGGTAAGAATTGGTTACCACTAGACAAAATATAAATTTATTATAATTCTTATATATTACAGAATCTGTCTAATAAGATGAACATATACATATATTACTATGTTACAGTCAAATATTGATTTAAAATGTAATTTCAACAAGTCAAAGTAAATAAATAATATTACATTAGGTTCAAAACTGTTATGAATCTTTTAATATATGCAAGCTATTAAGGTAAGCTTTTAACACATTTAGATTTTTAATTTTGTTGAAAACAACATGATATTTTCTAGACCTGGAAATGGCACCACTTTTGCCACATAAAAACAAATATAGCATAAAGTTTCAAAAATGATGTTATATACTTTAGAAATAGAAAAGTTAACTTGTGGCATAGAGACGTAAAATATAAAGTGAATCATTATTGTTTGTAAAATCATACAGTCTTAATGTCATTCAATATAATGGACTCATTAAAATAAGGTAAATAGTATTTATTAATTTGCTGTTAAACAAAACCATTCATGTTTACCCTTTAATGTTTATGTACATATATACATACATAAATGTATTTATGTACAATAGATAAATGTTGTTTTTAATTGACTCGAAAAACAGTGTTTATTAGTTTCTTGTTACATTAGTATTTTAATCTACATTTCTACACTAATTTTGGAGTGATCTCGAAAAATCTGATCTGATTCTGAAAATTCTTTCACTAATTAGGAAGCTATATATACTACCGCCGAGTGCTGTAGGCTATTTTTTATTCACATAAAATGTGTTTACTGTCAGTATCATAATCTATACTATAATATTATAAAGAGGTAAAGTTTGTGATCTTGTGAGTTTGTGACGTTGTAGGGGGTAATCTCTGGATCTACTAAACTGATTTTCGAAATTCTTTTACCAATAGAAAGCCACGTTCTTTCTGAGTGTCATAGGCTATATATTAACCCGAAGAATGAAAAGGCTTTTTCGTGGTAGTCGGATTTGCAAAGTAAGTCGGATAAAAAACGGTTGAACGAAAACGTTTCTTACAAACGCTGCCCTAACGATGAGAAATATATGATTATGTTCTAGAGAAAAGTTGTAGAGCTTAATAATGCCTACAAAAAAGTCAGCGACAGCATATTATGTCTAACTTTCATATTTAAGTCACAAAAAGTAGTTTTTTATATTAAAAAAATAATTTAAATCGGTAGGTCATGTTTATTGGTCATATTATCAACAATTATGAATTCTTATCAAAATAAGTAAATTTATTGTCTAAAATGTTTAAAACAAAAGACTTTTCCCTTTTACTGCATATAATTTGGACAAATGGTTAAAGAGATAATACAACATATTCGTAGGTATGGACGCAACGTGCGTTCACCTTGTCGTGGTGGGGGGGCTCAGTAGTGCCCGGCAACCCAACCGGGCGCGAAGCCAAGAAACGCACAGGGAGGTGGCCCACTTCGGTGGGCGGTGGGAGGTGGCCCTCTTCGGAGGGTAGTGTACCATGCGGGTTGCTCCTGGTACTTCTCTGATAGCAGAATGGACTGTGGAGCAACCCCGTGGTTGTTGTGGTCTGCTTCGGGCAGACCTGCCGTCGGGGCGTCGTAGTTGAATGCGTAAGCGATCCTGCGACGCCCCATTAGGACGGGGGAAGGTTTTGTTGGGTTTTAGTGGGTAGTACTGGCTTTGCCGGTGAGTCCCACACCTCGTGCGTAAATGCATTTCCCAACGTTAAAAAAAAAAAGGTATGGACGAACCCGAGCGAGCTGTTTTTCTGTTTGTACGGGCTAATCTCCGAATCTATTGGACCGATTTAAATGAAATTTTGCATGGTGATACCTTATATCCCCGGGCAACATCTTAGATACTTTTCATCCCGGAAAATTAAAGAGTTTCCGTGGGATAGTTAAAAAACTATAGTAACTTATACAGCTTAGTACACAACAACTTATGCACCTAAAGTAAAATTTGGCATGCTGATACCTTATATTGCCGGTCAAACAACAGGTTACTTTTCATCCCGCAAAAATGAACGGTTTCCGTGGGCTTGATCTGTTTGTGCTTTTCTAGAGGTGAACCCGAGCGAAGCGAGGGTGAGCCGCTAGTATGTACATAACTTTAATTATTGAAGTCAGAAAAAACTGGCCATTAATTTGTTTTTTTTTATTTTAGAAAAAATATTATGTAAGTAAATAGTGTGTGGTGAGTAGACACTTATAGTGTTTTATAATATTTTTCCAAGAGTTAGCGGCTCACTCGCTTCGCTCAAGCTCGTCACTAGGTATGTTTCAACAGAGGGTAGGGAATAGGAACACTGTATATTATATTACTGCTCCGCTAGTTTGGGTAGTAGCATGATGATATATAGCATATAGCTTGCGTCAAAAAACGTGCTATCTAATGTAAAAAGAATTTTTCAAATCGAAATAGTCGTTCCTGAGATTAGCGCCTTTAAACAAACAAACTGTTGCCTCTTTTTAACCCACTTCCAAAGGAGGAAGTTCTCAACTCGTCAGAATCTTTTTTTTATGTATGTTCACCGATTACTCGAAGATGCCGGAACCGATTTGGAAATACATACTTCCCAGGTGGTCCCATATAAATTTTATTGAAATCGGTCAAGTGTTTTTTTTAAATCAGCAAGTAAATTATTTTTTTAAATAAATTGCTTAATCGAACATGTTATTAAAAAACTCTCTTCTAACAAATTACCTGCTTATTACGTCTACACTAAAAATGGACAAATAAAAACTTAAAAAAAATCGACTTCTAGGCACTAACATTTAAAAAATAACTAAAAGGGGGTTGTCATTTAGAATAGATACCTAATCAGATATTTTCGAAGTAGGTGCCAGGCGATAATATTTTAAGATATGAATAAGTATATATCATAGGTAACTATGTGTTTTACGTATCGAACTAAATTAGATTTGCTTTACATCGGCTGGGACTGACTTAAAAAAAATATCTGATTAGGTATCTATTCTACATGAAAACCCCCGTTTAGTTATTTTTTACATTTTAGTGCCTAGAAGTCGTTTTTTTAATGTTTCTATGAGTATAGAAGAAGATGATAAGACTAGTTGAGTGACGAAATCTCATCACAATGACTATAAATTATTACTCATCAAAAATTAATATACCTATGCATATACTAGGTACTTCTCTATGGACTTTTTATTTATTAATTTATATCTACATATATGTATTTTATGATTTAAGAATTGGCTCCGTAACACATTATACATGTCTGTCGGTATTTTTATTGTAAATAGGCTGGCAGAATAACTATAGTACTTCAAAATTGTCGCTGGGTTATTTTATCTATAAACTATCTATTAACGTGTTGACCTTGAGTACTTTAAAGTCAAGGATGTGAGTAGTAGCTTGAAGTTTAAATAAACTAGCTTATGTAACCTAGCTTTGGAAACACATTAAGTAAAAAGTCGAGAGTAGAGGGGGAAGTAAAGTGTCATTCACCCTGACGACTAAATTACTTTGTAGAGTAACTATTATACTAGTAACGTCCCTGTAAAGTAACGAAATTTCTTTCATCCTAATCAATATTTTACATTAGGAAAAATTGTGT